CAGTAAGTCACTATGGTGAGGAATGGATGTAGAATGCGCGCCGCACCCCAGAAAGAGATCGAGGGTAAATTTCGTTTTTATTTTTATCGGCTTGTCCAGTCAAGGCTTTGTGCGTACCAATTGAAAAGACTCTGCGGATTGTGAATGGATGTCGCAAAATTCGTGGCGCATCCCAGAAAGGGTCACGTAGATTACCGCATTAATGTCCAGCACGGAGGCGGCGCAACAGCAAGTGTCGCGCTCACCATATGCGCCATGCGGGGGTCAGATCCCCGATCGGCTCTCGTCCAGACTAGCTATGACTTCTACCTCCAGGAACGACAAATTGATACCAGATTCGCCTGGGAGGATCGACTTATACATCGCTGGCCCAAGCAAGTCATTGCATAGGCCACGTCGCATTCAATAAGGCGCTACAATCCTGAATAGAAGGTAGAATGCGTGCGGCATTCCCGCAAAGGGATTGATCAACAGCGAAGACTTTGTCCTCAACGTCCGGCACCCTATCCTTTTGTATTGCAAGCTTGTTTTAAGCTACGTTTTGCGTTTCTAATAATTTTGATTCGAGTCAAGTTTTGTTATTTAATGGTTTTGAATTCGAGTTCTGTTTATTATACCCAGTTTTGTACTCCTCAAGAAAAGGAAAGCCGCCCATTTTGTTACTTCATTTTTTCGTAGTCATCTAGTTGAACTCATGCTAGGTCTTTCTGGCTGAGTAAGGGTGGCTCTATGCACTTACATTTATCGATTCAGTAATTGCAGGTACGATTTACAATTTCCGCACGTTTTTTCTGTTGTTTTTTGAAGCGTGGACCTAGTGCGTGGAGCGCACATTCGTGGAGAGATTGACGTGTCGTTTGCATGTCGTTCGTCTGGGCAGTCCTCACTCCTCGGAGAATGCCTTATGACCGCGACTTCAATGTCCACTTATAGCAGTCTTCCGTATTTGCAGCTGAAATGTTGATGGCCATGCTCTTTGTGCCTTCGTGATGATAATATTACTTTTACTCTCATCTCTCATTATTTTTTGTCAGGGACCACACTGATATTTATTTGATTTTGACATGGTCAGGAAAACGAGAATATTGATATCCATCCATCTGGGTCGAAACACATGCTTGTGGATCCATCACGTTATATTTATTGGGGGGGGGTCTTGACCTCCGCTTTGAATTTTGCTATGATAGGACTCACATTTCCGGCTTCAAAATGAGCTTTCAGAATTTAAGTTATTGCTGGAGGCCTTGTTCAAATCGATCGCCCTTTTCTCGCTGAAATTTCTTTATGTTTCATTTATTTTCAATAGTTGCTTAGTACTTGCAGATTGCATCAAAATGAGATACCACGCCCAAAAATGCTTAATATGCGTTGGTATATTAGCTTTTGTAACTTCCGTGCAAACCTTGCAGTTCGTAGGATTCTGAGCTGGAACTAGATAAGCGTGGGAGACGATCTTCAAGACCACGCGTCGTCACATGCGAGGCAATCTCCAAAAACCGCTGCGTGCAATGGAGCTCGCGCTCGCGACAAACTCATTGCGTTATTGAATGAGATTAGGTTCGCTTCAGTTTCCAGCCACGCTCTTCATTCTGGTAGGATCTGGATTGTCTGGACCGCTGGTTTCTGTCTTATTGCTCCGTTATTCCCAGAGGAAATTGCAACGAAATGTCACTGTCGCAAAAAAAAATCTCCCGAGCGCGTGCCAATTGTAACCATACGGTATTTGCAATGTCGCGCGCGTCGCCGCGTGGTCCTGCCGTCACATACCCGATGTGCATCAGTCCTAGTCTAGAGAAACTGTAACTCGCGATTCTGCAGCTCCTTATAGCGCTCGCTTCACATCACTAATGCTGACAGATCGCGCGGTTGTTTGTTGCCCATTTTCAGCTTGATCCTCTCCCCCCCCCCCCCCCTCTCTTTCCCCCACTATGAAATCTGCCGCTGTTTAGCAAAGTCAGCGATGTACTGGGATTTTTTTTTCGAAGCAGTAGAACGTCACGAGACCGACATGGTCTTTCACAACTTTTTCTTTGGAATTCATATGATTGCGCATCCGCGTGCCACAGTCCGATTATTTCTCAGATTTCACTGATACTCTCAAGGTAATTCCAAATTGAACTAATTACCTTTTACTTCAATTTTATTGACACAATTTTTCTTTTTTTTAACACAGCTCATTAGTGGCGTGACGCTATGACATTCAAGGGCACCTATTTTGAGCTGAATCTTTACACCTCGTTCTAGGTAATGGCATCGGCTCCAGCAATCAACTCCAATGGTCCGTCGTTCGCTCAGTACAATGGCCCGTCGTCCGCCTTCAAACCGTATGACACGAAATCCGGCCAAACTGCCCCAGTTGCGCCTTTTCCGGGGCCATCCATGCCGTTTCAGCCTTCTAACCCCTTTCCTTCCACACAAGGAATCCCACCTCCGGTTCAGCAGGTACGTCATGCAATGCATGCATGTAATTTTCCGCTCCGTTTGTTTTTGTAGTAGGTTTCACTGACTATGATTTGATTTTGGTTCTGCCTTGGTTCGCATGTAGAAATGGTCGCAAATCAAAGAGATCACTTTTCTTTTTTGAAAAGTTCAGCAGTGTTCAAAGAGTTACCGATCGGGAGACGGGTCTAATCTGAATTGTGAACGGCCGACATAGAGCGCGTTTATACTCAGGAATCGCGCTATCTGGATCGCTCGATTGTATTAGTCGAGCGATACTGACCGGGGGCTCTCTAGTGCCAAACGATCGCAACGGCAGAATTCAAATTAGGCCGCGTTCACGCTGTGTCAGATCGGATCGCGCAATCCAGTCCAGCAATCCGATCGTGCGATCGCGAAGTATGAAGAGCATGAGAGGGAGGTGGACCGGGGGGGGGAGTTACTGTCACTAGTAGGCTTAAAAATACAGATGCTACCCACTCCATGCCATCTTCTAACAACTGCATTTAATGGAACAAGTTAGTAATGCGCCATAGTTGCCCACGTAACGGTCTTCGATCGCCTGTGCGGAATTGTGCCATGTTCGATTTCCGATGATTTTTTCAAAGAATTGTTTAGGTACCTCCTGGACCGGTGTACCAAACTGCTGTTGGAAGTTCTGCCTCAGTGGTGCACCAGAATAGCTCATATAATTCCAGCGTACATATGGGCCATCCCAATCCTCCCTGTAAGTGTCTGTGTTTTGTCAGACAACCGTTGTTTGTTCTTTATTTAGGCGCCTTTGGCGCACATGACACTCGATTATTTTAAGACTCGAAATTTTTCGACGATCTATGCTTCGATGTGCTTACAGTCCTATTATAACTGTTAGGCATCCGAAATGTTTGTATTGAAGAAAATATGGTATAGTAAAGGGTGGTGGTATGAGATTTAGACCGATGAAAATTTCCAATTCTCGCAGCTTATAACCAGGGCACATCGCGCCGTTAGAGGAAGTTTTGCAAAATCCGACCACCTTCAAAATTTCCGCCTGTGGAACGACCCCACCCCCACTCCTCATCCTGTCCTATCTAAATTTTCGCAGGGCTGTAGAACTTTTCCCAGTTTTCCTAGGAATACCAGTTTAGATCTTTTCTAGGAAGTTGCCGTCGAGCGAGCGGGAGGGAGGCGGTATACAGCTGTCGTCAAAGGGGAAAAACAAAGAGAAGTCGGCAAAAGAAACATTTTTCTCATAGGTATGTACAACCCTTCCTTCTCACACCCTAGATCAAACGGGACCTCCTCGCTGCGGGTCTTCCAACTTACAAGACATACCCTGCTTGTAATGCGCTGATGGTTCAGTGACGATGACGGTACCTTCATGTGAAGCTATTAGGTCATCCCATTCAAAAGTGCCGTGACATATAGAGGAATGGCAGAAAAGCAAAGGGGATAGGGAGCGGGCTACTATACCATTTGGAGGCTAGTACCTTTAGCTGTGTATCTGTGAAATTTGGCGAACCTACCCACAGAGGAAGTTCTCGAGAAATTGAAAAGAAGCCCGAGTGGTGAAAATCAGCGCCCGATTTTCAAATCAGACGTCATAAGAGGGAAGTGCGCTGCTCAAATTCGGGACCAGTAGTTGTGTGTAATGGTGTTCTCGAAATACAAGGTGGAAGGTTTGGTTCAGGAGCCCGAAGAAGGAAAGGAAAAAATTTGTTGTCGTGGATGGTCCCATAATGTTCATCCTGCACAAGAAAAAAGGGTGGATGAAGTCAAGCGCTGAATGTCTGATCCAGAGCCTGGACCTTTGTCGAGCTTCCCCGCGAGTCTGACATCCCAGCTGCAACTGCTGCCCGAGTTATGTCCGATAAACTGAGGATGGTCAAGAGGGTGGCGCATGGGTACCTAATTTTCTTGTAGAAGCACGAACGCAGTACCTAATTCTATACCTCTAGCAGTAATGTTTAGCATGAGATGTCATTCACGACTGTGAAAACGCACCCCGGCCCTAGATGAAATATGGGTGGTCTTGGACCTCGAGCCAAAACTCACAATCGTCAATTTTGTATGAATGCAGATGAGAAGCCGCCCGAGTTCTACCATGAGGGGTTACGTGGGCGCAAGTGGATGATCATCATAGCGAAGGATTCCTACACTGAGGCTTTTAGGCGGCTCTATACAGAAAATAAAATCGTAGATGTCGGTGTATATTGCCTGATCCTCGGCAATCAGATCGACAAATGGATGATACCACACAACTACAAGAAGGCCACCGTTGCTCGTCATAGTGCCAGACCCCTAACTGTATTGTAGGCAGTGCTGGGACACAAACAATACTGAGACCTGGGTTCAATCACCCCATTCGCCCGACATAAAGCCGAGCGATTCCAATTGTTCTCGTCAGTCGAGAGTACTCTCCGACGGCAAACGCTACAATGTTTTGTCATTCGCCGTAATTGGCAGCAACAGCAATTTACTCGCACTTGTTGAAAAACGAAGGTACCAGAGGTCCAAAGGCTTTCGGGGCACTGGGGACGGGTCATTGGTGAAGGAGGGATTTACTTAACTTGAAGCCAAAATATTACTTTTTTTATGTATCTTTGTTTTATTGGAAAAAAACCGACGGCACTTTTGAATGGGATGACCTAATACATGCGCACAAAGTAAGCTGACCTCGTTTGGGGAATCCGGTGACGGGGGTACATTTTGCACATTTGCTACTTCCCATCGACGTATCGATCCATACAGAGAGCCATTTCGTGAGCTCACAAGAGTTGAAGGTTTTATCATGGTGGCTCAACGAGCTTCCTCTAGCTTCACAAGAGTTTAGAGGTTTCACGAGTGAGACTTGTAAACGAACTGTGAAGAGGAAAAGTGCGCCCCCCTCCTCTCCCCGTTATCAAGTGCACCCACATTTAATTCGTTCTGCAGCGATGCTGTTCACGGCACCAGTAGTTTTTATGTAGAGCGCCGCTACGTCATTAGCCGGTTCACTAACAAGGGAAGGATACCAACTCGTCCTGGCCATTCAGAATGAGATGTATACTCCTAGAAGCGTCTTCGGACGCTGATATCAAATCTGGCTTCCAAATCTGCTAAACGATTCTGGGTGAGGAGTTACGGACCTTTTTTGCTACTGTGCTTAACCATTGCGGTGCGCCCCCCTGCTTATGCTTCGCGCTTGTAAACCCTTCGTGACCCAACCGCCATCGTGGCTCGGTGGCGCAGTAGGTAAGTGGATGGACTCACAGTCGTGCGATGGGGGTTCGAGTCCTTGATGCGTTTCGTAGTTTTGCTTTTCTTGAAACGTGCGCTCAACACTTGGGAAGTAGTTTTGCATACCTGTACGACCACCAAGACCCCTCCCTGCTGCTTATTAGACCCTATGTCTGAATTTTGAGAGGGGTTTCATTTTGACTTCAGTGAAAGCATTCATTTTCATAGCGTTGGTATGGCAGCTTTATTTAACGCATATATTTTTGTAATTAATGCGACTTTTTCGCACTCGAACGGTAGAAGGCAATGGCTTCATTCACTTAAACCACACGCATACTTGATATGGACTTGTATAAAGTGAAGTCCATAAGTGGGCAATGGGTACAAGCGAACTACCTTCTCTATCGGGACCTTTACATCCCCAAAGTGACGTAGCTGTTCTTCTAGCTCCTAGGGAACTTTCTTCATCGCCATCACACGTGATCAGAGAGGATCCGTATTGTCGTCCTCTACGAGCTATCTTCCTCGCAGTCAATTGCAAGGTTGTCGTACAGTGTGTCGACAACCTCGTAATTGACATTGACACTCATTCGTACCCCAGAAAACTCAAAAAAACTTTTTCGCTGAAACGTTGCCTATAGGTGTAATTCGATGCCCTGATCACGAATATCACATTCGTTTCGAGCGCTGGCGTCATTTGGCGCCATTATGCGCCAATTTGGCGCCCACCATTTTTTTCACCAAAGTCGATGAAAACTTGCATATGGGGGTTAATTGAGGTCCTGATTACGGAACCAGCATTCGCGCTAGGCGCTGGTGCGATTTGGCGCCATTATGCGCCAATTTGGCGCCATATTGGCGCATCATGGCGCCAAATCGCGCCAACGCTGGAAACCTGTGTGATATTCTTAATCAGGACCTCAATTAACCCCCATATGCAAGTTTTCATCAACTTTGGAGGAAAAAAGTGGTGGGCGCCAAATTGGTGCATAATGGCGCCAAATGACGCCAGCGCTCGAAACGAGGGTTAAAACCGTGATCAGGGCATAGAACTGCATCTGTAGACATTCAGCGATAAAATTTTTTTGAGCTTTCTGGGGTAGGAGTAGTTCAACAGTGCCTAATATTACTTTAGTTATGGTAGGCACGGTCGCAGAGGTGTTGGCTGATATTGTGTGCGTGGGTGATTAGAGCTACCGAACATGTTGAAACTTTCGTTGCCCACACACGTCATTTTATAGGATGGTGAAATTTCGCAGATCACGTACTTCAGGCAGATATGCATGTGTATTTGGTCCCTTGCATGAACGAGTTAGGTAGAAGTGTAATTTTTCACGAAAATCGTTCGCGGGGCTCAATAAAGAGCAGGGAGTTGTCTTGGTGGTCGGACAGGTATGCAAAACTACTTCCCAAGTGTTGAGCGCACGTTTCAAGAAAAGCAAAACTACGAAACGCATCAAGGACTCGAACCCCCATCGCACGACTGTGAGTCCATCCACTTACCTACTGCGCCACCGAGCCACGATGGCGGTTGGGTCACGAAGGGTTTACAAGCGCGAAGCATAAGCAGGGGGGCGCACCGCAATGGTTAAGCACAGTAGCAAAAAAGGTCCGTAACTCCTCACCCAGAATCGTTTAGCAGATTTGGAAGCCAGATTTGATATCAGCGTCCGAAGACGCTTCTAGGAGTATACATCTCATTCTGAATGGCCAGGACGAGTTAGTATCCTTCCCTTGTAAGGCCGTTTAGCTAGAGCCAGCCCCACAGTGCATGCATGAAATGGCGGCTTTGGGGGAATGTGGACCTCTATAGTGGTACTTCCGCCTGCCATCGCTCCGTAATAGTTTGGCTAGCTGCCGTGGTAAGTCGCGGCAATATAGCTGTAAATATTGGTATTCGTTGATAATTATGTTTACTAGTACTTGCACCATTGTACTATTGATGCAACTCCTTATGGCTCTACCCTTGATTGGCTGATACTTGATAATGCAACATCATGTTAGCATGATGATGAATGATCATCACTTCAAGCTAAACTACGAAACCTTTTAGGAATAACAACCTTTTAGGAATTTTTTTAGCATCTTATACCTTTCAACAAATTTGTTCACTGTAATCGACTTCATGATAAGTAAATATATGAGCACATAACGAGGACATTATGCAGAGATACAGCATGTTCCTTTGAACAGCGTTAAAAGTCTTTTTTGCTGCCTGATAAATGATCACTGAAAACGCAAATAATGCTTGAAAACGCCACAGTTCATATTATAGTTTAGAAAGCTTACGTTAAGATGGATAATCTGATGTTTTTAAGTGCCACCGTGTCTCGCTACCAACTCCAGACCATCTCCATCTACTCTAATGCAGTCGACAGCTTTACAACCACCAGCTCCTCCAGACATACGTCAAGTACAGCAAGGCTTCAGTCATATGGTAATTTCTAGTATCTGCGGAAGTTTCCTTCTACTCTGCTATGAAGTGATGCAATTAGGGCGTTATTAAAGACAAACTGTACGCTCGCCTTTCACTTGTCCTTGCACTGTGCGAGGCGAATAGGTTCGCGGCTGCAGAAGCGTGCCACTTTCTCCGCTCAGAGACAATTCCCGCG